TGAAGAGATTTAAGTTGCAGAATTGCAAAGTTGCTGTGACACCATCAGAAACCAATCAAAATTTGGATTCTGACTCTGATGGTGATTTTGTTGATTCTACAACCTTCAAACAATTCGTTAGTTCTCTAAGGTATTTATGTAATACTAGACCTGCCATTTGTTATGCAGTTGGATTGGTTAGTAGATTCATGAGTAATCCAAAGTGGTCTCATTTCCAAGCTGCTGTCAGAATTCTGAGATATATCAAGGGAACCCTGAGATATGGAGGGATGTTTCCTTCTGAAAGAAAGACAGAATCAGAATTAGTAAGTTATTCTGATTTTGACTGGTGCGGAGACATAGTGGACAGGAGAAGTACTTATGGATACTTGTTTAAATTTCTGGGAGGTCCCATTTCCTAGAGTTCCAAGAAACAGCCTGTCGTGGCTCTGTCAACATGTGAAGCTGAGTATATCGCAGGTGTTGTAGCTGCTTGTCAAGTTGTTTGGCTTCTGAATCTTCTGCATGATCTGAAGGTTGAAGTTGAGGAACCTCTGAAGCTGATGATTGATAATAAGTCTGAAATTGATCTTGTCAAGAACCCAGTGCTACATGGAAGATGCAAGCACATTGAGACGAAGTATCATTTTCTCAGAAGTCAAGTGCAGAAAGGAGTGTTAGAAGTTCTACACTGTAGCACTCAGAAACAACTTGCAGATCTTCTGACAAAGGCAGTTAAAACAGATCAATTTCTTTACTTGAGAGATGAAATTGGTGTTGTTAGCTTCTGATAGAATATCTAAATTAATGGATGGTATTGGAAATATAATTTAGTTAATGTCTACAATTCTCAATGTTTATTCTTTAATAGGGCCTTTTGGCATTTTCAATTTTAGTATAAATATGCTACCTAGGCTATCAATACTGTAACTCATTCATTCATCTTTTTGATATACAATAGTAGTCCTCTTTGTTATCATTCATTGCTCATTCTTCTTCTCCCTTTTTATTACCTTGCACCAACATGATTATCCGTATCAAATTTCAATATCGCAAATTATTTGTGGGGGATTTCAAATTCTATCATAAATAATTACGGGACTAATCCGTCACTAAATTGAAATTTTCATCACAAACCATTGAAAATAAATCCGCATTAAATATATTTTAGTATTGTTTATATTCTGTCACTAATTATTCAAGATTATTGTATGAATACTCATTTTATGAGAGATTTTTTCCGTCACTAAATTAAATGAATTATTTAGTGACATTTGCATTCCCTCACTAATCAATGAGAACCTGCATGAAATTATTGAAATTGTAAATTTCCTGCCAAATTTAATGAACATTGAAATTGAATTTACTATATCATCTTAATAAAAATAAATCAATCACAATATGAAACACAAGAAACTGATTTTGTAAGTATCATAAATATTCCCCAAATCAAGACTAATAGTATCAAAAATATGTTCTTAAAACTAAATACTAAAAGCAGAGTATTTTTTTGTTGACACTAAATGTTACAACTAAAATAGTTCAAAATAACTCGTAAAATTAAGAAATTTCAATGAAAATAATACTATCGTTGATGTCAGTGGCGGAGCCAGAAAAATTATGAAGTCTGGGCAAGTTTCCGTTTCCATTGGCTTCATAATTTTCTACCAAGACAGTTCAATGCTAATCCCAAATGAATTATTTCCTTGAATTGCAATTGCCTCTTCAATTTGTAAGATTTCGGATTTTATAATATATACATGTTAAAATTTTGGATTCTATAATATATACATGTTACAGTATTTCAGGTGTGCTCACAAAATGAACAAACCTATAAAAGCCGAGAAAATTAGTTCAACACGCTCATTTGTGTGGAATTAAGTACTGCCTAAAAACACCGCTATCAATTCAAATTCCAAATAATGTTATCAAATGCAGATCGGCAAAATGGTGGTTTGTTAAAATTCCGGTATGCTACAATGTTGTAGAGCCACTATTTGAGAACACATTGTACTAAGTAGCATAACAAAAAACAATAGGGATGTGATCAAATTCCGCTACACTATAGTACAATAGCTATAACTGCTATTTAACAACAATGATTCCAAGATATCCCAATATAAGATATCAACAAATAAAAAATTATGATAACAAGCCACACCTTTCAATAGTTCCTCTGGAAAACCATGTGGCATCGCTTTCGTGCTCAGGCACAAGAACAATTGAATAACCAACCTTCACCATTTGATCTTGAGCAACCTTCAAGTGACAGTGAAAGGGGTTGAACAAACCTGAAGCTATTTTCTCCTTCTTTCCATTCACAGTAATGACCAAATCAAACCTAATTTACACAAGAGCACAAAATCACTTGATCAATTAACTCACAGAGATTAATCAGTGGCATAAAAACCTTATCATATGTATAAACAAAATATAGTTCATGCAGTAAGTTTTCTCATTTCTTAAACTCAATTTCTATAACTGCATGTAGCAACTACATACATTCTCCCAATAAATTTGTACTCCTTTTTTTATCAATCTTAAAAAAAAATTCCTCAAATGATATTTTTACAGCTCAGATGAAAATTCTAAAATCACTGAACTATAACATTTCTTAAACGAAAGTACCTCCTCTTGAGCTTCCTTGGAACAGAGGCAAAAATTAATCTTCTCCAATACCTGACCATTTTCTAAAATATATCTGGCAATACTTAATCCACGCACATGACTAACAAATTTTTTAAACTTCAGCACTTTAAGAGTATAAAGCAAACAATGAGGCACAATTAGAGAATTCATCAGCATTCCATCAAAATATATCACCTAGAGATCAGAAAAAGAAAAGTAGATTTTTTGAAACCAATAAAAACATTGAGCTCATTTTTAAATTTTAGAAATTAAAAATGACAAACCTTTAAAACTAGAGTTTTCAAACAGGGTGTCTTTAGGAATTAGGAGTATGCTTAACAAATATCTCTCTCATTCATACTAGTTATAAATTAAGTAGATCATAATTTATATAAAACCAACAAAAGTAAGTACATTTTCAACAAGTTGAAATCCGTTGATGAATGTTATCTGGTTCTAGTTGGTGTGAGCTGAAACACAATTGAATCCAACCTTGTAAGTTGTAACTCACTTTATTGTTTAAAAGAGCTTGCTTCAAAATCTCGATTTTTGATACTATCACATGGCATATATGACTCGAATAAAAGAGATTGCAATCATAGAAAGTAACAAAGGTTTTGTTTTCATAAAATATTGAATATGATAGTTAAGCTTCATGCCAGGCAGAGGTGGTTTCACCATCTGCTCAAATCATCATGACATCATATAGTTTCAATCTAAATAAAATAAAATTAAAAAGCATATGAATGAATAGAAAGAACAAGAAGCAGAAAAAAATAAGAGGAAAATAGTATGCTGAACCGATTAGTGCTTGAATATAATAAACTAAAACTAATTGAGAAAGAGAGGAGGAAGGAGTCTGTTGCCGTCGCGGAGAAGGGATTGGTGGTGCTGCAGTTAGGTTTACTTTTGTTTTTGCCCTTTTTTTTCTTTTTTTTTTCCCTTTGAATTTTTTGCCTTTTTATATTTTTTTAATTAAAATAAATTTGGGCCAGACTAAAGAGCCTGGGCAGTTGCCCAGGGTAGCCGCATGCTAAAACCGCCTATGGTTGATGTTGAAACTAAGTGATGACAAACAAAAGTGTGTTTATTGCGAATTAACAGTGTCACTAGTGGAAAAATAATATTTAATGCTTGTTTTATTTTACATCTAACACTCGTTTTCTACCAGTTTTGTTGTTACTGATGTGGTAAATTTTTATTTAAAATGTTACGTAGTCGGTTTGAAAAAAACCATAAAGAATTTCAAAAGGAAAATTCAAAAACAGACATAGCTAATGGATCAAACAATGAAAATTAAGGATGGAGCGAGCATTAGTGAAAATCAAGGATCATCACAGTAATTTGAGTTATGAGACATTGTGCATCCAACTACCTGTTTGAAGTATGCTCAAAACTTTATGAAAACTGACTTGAAGATCTCTCTATAATGTAATATTTTGCTTGCTTTTGATCTTGTTAGCTTCACTGAAGTTCAAGGAGGCTTGATGAATGAGAATGTTGGCTTGTAGAAGGGTGTGGATATGAAAACGAAGCTTACAAGTTCAGAGTTCAAATGGTATCTGAGCAGGGTTGTTTTTGATATCAAAAGCTTATTGAATGATGTGAATGAGGTCTTTATTTATAGATGATCACTACAACATTTAGCCTCTCCAACAACAATTGAAAAGCGTTGCCAGAACTCTGAAAATCGTTGCCTAAACAAATAGGGGACGTTTTCTAGGCGTCTCCTGTGCGAGCGTTGCCTATTGTTTGAGGCGACGTTTTTTTAATGTTTTTTTGGCACGCTTTTGAAAAACATCGCCTATAGAAAAGGAATAGGGGACGATTATTTGCGGCCTCTGAGACGACGTTTTTTAAGTGTTGCCAAATTCGGCTACAATTAACAATCGTTGCCTTAAACCTGAATCAGGAAGGTCGTTTTTGAAGTGTAGCCATAGATTATAGGTTGTTGTTTTATAGTGTCCACATAAAATATACAATTTTGCAATTATTATCAAAATAATATAGTCAATAATAATTGGCTTCAAAAATAATATTGATTATATAACTTAAACCATACATCCATAAAAGTTGTAATATAATAAAATCGAGTTCAAACTTTAATTCAAGATATAATATATAGAGTACACAAAATTCCTAATGTAACATTACTTTCAATACTTTGAAGTATGACCATAGTAAAATAACTAAAAACATAGTTCAACAAAAGAACAAAAATCATATAATGCTTTCAACTACAAGCCAAAAAAAAGACATCATCCAACTCACTCAAGTTTGTCTTCTAAGAGTAAATCAACCAGATCATCCTCTTGAAATTCGTTAGATATGTCATCCTCCATAAATTCTTCATCTACGTCGTCCTCTTGAAATTCACCATCTATATCGTCCTCTTAAAATTCATCATCTAGATCTATGTCGTCCTCTTGAAATTCGTCATCTACATCGTCCTCTTGAATTTTATCATTTAGGTCGTCCTCTTGAATTTTATCATTTATGTTGTCCTCTTGAATTTCATCATTTATATCGTCCTTTTCAACATCTTCATTGATACATTGCTGCATAAGAAAATAAAATAAAACACATCAACCATAAATATTTTTGGTCCAAAGGACAATTAAGACATCAACAAGAATTAAACCTCGCACAAATAAAAACTAAACCAATGAGCAAAACACATTGTTTATATTCTTCACATCTCATGTCATGGGTGGGCTTTATATTACTTTACTTATCTTCTCATACCAGGAATATTCATAAAAAATACTCAATGTTTTACTTTAAGTCTATATGTCTAAAGTTGAAAATTTAGATTTTTCTCTTTTGCATATAACAGATCTTAAACAGTTTCAGCCACTTCTAGGTGTTGTCACTACTTAAACAATTTCAACCACTTACTTTATTCTAGGTGTTGTCACTACTTGCAAATTTTTGCATACATTAACAACCATTTTGATACTATAACATAATTAGAAAAATATAAATCAATAATATTGGTATATATGGTTACCTTTCCATGACATGGAGCATGAGTTGATGTAGATGAATGCATTTACGGTCTTATATCCTTTGGGGAACTATTAGCATCTCCATGAGATAATCCTAACAAATCTTCAATTGACTCTATATTAATTTGAGGATTGCATTGTTGTATTACGGTCTTAAAAGCATTTTGCAATCTATCAATCTTATCTTGAAACTCGTCCCTTAATGTAGAGACCTCTTCACTGTGGGCTTGTTTCAAAGCATTAATCTTTACCTTTCTATTTAAGGAAGTTTTAGTTATGTTTCTCCCATAACAGCGTACCCTGCCTGGACACTCCTTTCCAAAAACAACTTTAAAAGCTTCTGTATCACTTTCCTCCTTTTCAACCATTTCTTGAAGTTGGGACTAGCATAAATTACAAAAAAATAAATAATATTAACTACTATTATAGACAATGTTGGCCGATTATATTAAGCAAACGTATTATATAAACAATGTTACATACAATTACTTTTCCAGTTTCTACATCCAGTTCCTTTCCTTTATTTCCTTTTCGAGTTTCAACAAACATTTCTGATTGAGTGGACTCTCTTTTTTCCTTTTCACGCTGCACAAATCAAAATAATTCCATAACAAATCATGTGAATTAAAATTCCTATTCACGAGTCAAAGAAAAGTTTTTCACGAATACTTTAATTGAACAAAGAAACATTCATACAAGGAATACTTTATTGAGAACAAAAGAAAGTTACCACTTTTTCACGAGTCAAAGCAAAGTTTTTGGGACCCATTCGATGCATCCACTTTAGTTGAGCTCTATTTCTAGTGTTATTTTCACTGATTGCCTACATTTAAATTTGACGGAATTATTATAATAAATATTACTTAATTATGGCATACATAGAAAGGTGTAAATTCACACACATACATAAAAAAATTATTAATCTTACTTGTATAGTTTCCTTACTCCAATAAGCACAAAGACTCTTAAACTGGGCTATTGACACGTTTGGCGGATGATTTGTGAGTCTCTCGGTCATGTTGGAATACTTCAAAAAATGATTCTTCTTAATTTTGTGTTTATATCTTCTCCATGCCTCTCTAACAGTGGTCTCAATCCAATCTCGTGCTTCAACCGGCAAGATAAACTTCCGCTACATAAGTTATAAGATAAGACAAGATCAAGAAATAAAACACTTTTTTTTTAATAATTATACTTTCAAATTCATAGATAAAAACATACATTAGTATATCTCCAGAAACGGTTTTTATTATCATCTGGCATTCCTGACCAATTAGTGTAACGTAGAGGACAAAATGTTGAGTTCCTAGCCAATGTTCCCAAGAAGAGGCTCAAGTCAGATACTACTTTTTCACTAGGACCAATTGGCTGAAAATCCTCATTAATGGTCACTTCTACTCGCTCTTCCAAAGTTCTTGTATGAATCTTTTTGCACAAAGTTTTCCCACGAGTTTTTCTTTGGGATGTTTCTATAAAGTAATCAACACAACAACATGATATCACATGTTTTCTACCAATATGTAAATAATACATGAAATCATTATTATGAAATATGAAACTAATTACCTTTTTCTTCTACTCTATTTGTGATTGCATCTTCTTCGTTGACTTCTGCCCGATTTTGAACACTTTCTTGTCGAGTTCCTTTTTTTGGCTGATTTTGATTAGAGCTACGGTTAACACTGCTGCCCGGTTTTTCTCCATTGTTTGACTTGGTTGCATCCATTTCCTTTGACTTGTGAAGATCTACATAATCATCAATCAACATTGATGGGCATTTTGGCACCCTGTTTAGCTTTTTAGAGCATTCAGCTTTTGACATCATTGTGTCAAAAGATAGAGTTGATTTCTCTGGTTTCTTATTTTTGGAAGAAATAAGTATTCTCCTTGCAACTGGTTTTTCCACCTTTTGAATTTTATCTCTATTGTTCTCTAGTAGATTCTCATGAATTCTTTTTTTCAGCATTCCTGGTTTCAATGTAATTTTCTCGTCATAATAATGTCATGAAAAGAAATATATAAATTTAAAGTATATGCAGGGATATTAACTACCTTGTGAAACTTCTTTGTTTCCATGTGCAAAAACTTCCTTATCTTGTGGTTGCAAAAGCTTAGGTCTCTCTGCTTTCTTCATAGCAATGTGGTTGTCCAATTTTCCATCAACCTTTTGAATTCTTTCTCTATTCACTGTAGCTTTCACTTGAGTTCTTTTCTTTGGTGTTTCTAATTTTAGTAAAAATTCACCAAAAGATATTAGGAATAATTTCATGTAATATATGCATAATAGAAAAATTTAAAAATCACTTACCTTGTACAACTTCTTTGTCACCATGTGCATGATCTTTCATTACTTTTGGTTGCGAGAGTTTGTCTATCTCCATTTTCTTTGCAATAGTCTCTTTGTCCAAATTGTGATCAACCTTTTGAACTCTTTCTTGTTGAGTTCCTTTTTTTGGTGTTTCTAATTTTTGTAAAAATTCATTAAAAAACAGTAGGAATAATATATCTAAAGGAATTCCAAAACATAACTTTAACATACATCATTTTATATAAAATCAAATGAAACAAGAAAATGATTTACCGTCCACAACTTCTATAATTTCCTGAACCCTTTCTCTATTGTTTCCTTGTAGCATCTCATGTAACTTGTCAATTTTTTCTTTCTTAACATGTTGTAGCACTTTATTTCTCAATTCTGCACTTGATCATACTTGAAAAGGAAAATCAAATCTTTTAGTAGGACTTCGACCACTCTTCCTATGTGATCCACCATCTTTTACACTTCTTACATTGTCCATTATGGCTAACAACTATGATCTACAAAGGGGGAAAATTACATAATTATATAATGAAAAATTGAGTATAAAGTGACATTATGCATAACCATAAATTAACAGTATATTTGAATCTAGTTTGTTATGGTTTAAGTAAAAAAATGACAACATGCTTAACCATAAATTAAACTTTTAACAAATCTATTTTCTACTCAAAATCTATTAAAAAAATTGGTAAAACACATTGTCAATGCTACCTAATCAGTACTAGAATCATAATCGGTTTCATCGTCACTTCCATAACTCGTGTCACTGTGATCACTCTCTATTGCTTTTTGGTTGTGAAGTTCTGACAAAGGAATTTCAAAGATATCATCCGGCAAATCTTTCCTAACCAAATCCACTTCACAATCATCCCTTAATGTATTAAGATTTGTTGAAATATCATATTCTTGGGCATCTGTACTTAAAGATTCTCCCATGTCAAATGATTCCCTTGGAAGTGCATTTAGAACATAGTGTTTGTTTTTGTTTAAAGGATCTTCAATAAAGAAGCATTGTTGAACTTGAGATGCCAACACAAATGGATCATTTTTGTAGCATTTTTTGTTAAAGTAAACCAACGGCGATCCATATTTATCCTTTTCATCCACAAACCAATCACATTTGAATAATACATATTTTTCATGACCATAATAATCTAACTCTATAATATCTTTTATTGCCCCATAGTAAGTCACACAAATCTTTTTTGGATTTTCATCCTTCGCATTTCTAAGAACTTGAGTCACCGCTTCTAATGTCACATCACTATTTTGTGTTTTAATCCTTGCTTCACGATTTGTTGTATGAAACCTGTATCCATTAATAACATAACCAGAATACCTTCTAACAACATCATTTGGTCCCCTAGACAACACCTTCAACCATTCAGTAACTTTCTCATCCATGAGACGTGTTTCAAACCATTGAATAAAATCTTCTCTTTGATTGTTAGCTTTTCTGGACTTCCTTTTTTTTAGAGGATTATGATCATTAACCTCATGCTCTCTACAAAATAAATAACTAATATTTTAATACAAAAGAAAAAGAAAACTTATAGTGAGAATGAAATTTGGTATCAAGTAGATGAGTGTACCTAACATACTCTTGCACTTCATCGCAATTGAATAAAATGTAGCCGTGAGCTTGGTTTAGAGACTTATGATCAAGGAAAATTAGTTTCTTTCCCCCGATTGGATGACCTATGTTTGGAGTATCATCGCTATTTCGTGTCATTCTATTCATCCTTGTGTCTACAACACTAGACAAATATCTTGAACAAAATGTTAGAGATTCTTTAACTAAGTATGCTTCAACGATAGAACCCTCTGGACGACTCCTATTATGAACAAAAGATTTTAAATCACCCAAATATCTTTCCATATAATACATCCATCGAAATTGAACCGGTCCACCCAATCTGACTTCATTTGCCAGGTGAATCGGTAAGTGAACCATTATGTCAAGGAAACTCGGAGGGAAGATACGCTCGAATTGGCAAAGTGTTTCAGCAATTTCTACTTCCAAGTAATCCAATGTTTTCACATCTATAACCTTCTGGCATAAACACCGAAAAAATGAACAAAGTCGAAGCAAAGGGATAACAATTTGATTAGGGCCTATCCATCTTATTGCTACTTGCAACAAGTAATGCAATATAATATGAGCATCATGACTCTTGTATCCAGAAACTTTTCCTTCATTAACTTGAACACATCGAGAAATATTGGATGCAAGGCCATCAGGAAGTTTTACTGTCTTTAAAACATTACAAAAAATAGTTTTCTCTTGCTTTGTTAGGGAGAAACATGCCTTAGGGATTTGAGTTTTCTTACCATCACTTGTTTCCTTCAAATGGAGTTTTTTTTCTAATCCCCATGTGTTGTAGGTCCAAACGAGCTTTTGCATGATCCTTTTTCTTCCCTTCAATATCTAAGAGAGTCCCCATTATATTATCACAAATGTTCTTTTCTGTATGCATAACATCTATATTATGGCGCAAAGAATTATCCTTCCAATATGGTAATTGCCAAAAGATAGACTTTTTCTTCCATGGACCAGGCCTTTTTTTATGATATTTTTGCCCCACTACGTCAGGAATCTTTTCTAAGTCTTTTAAAATCATTGTTGAATCTAACAAGGAGGGTGCAGACCTATATTCTGGCTTTCCATCAAAAGAACTTGAATTTGATCTCCAACTATGATTTGAATCCAAAAAGACTCGATGACCCATATAACACATCTTTCGACTATGTTTTAAGTATCTTGAAGAAGTTTTATGATTACAAGAAGTACAAGCAAACTTCCCTTTAGTACTCCAACCGGATAACATAGCATATGCAGGGAAGTCATTCACAGTCCACATAAGAGCTGCACGCATTTGAAATGATTGATTTTTTGAAATATCATATGTTTCTACACCGACTTCCCATAATATCTTAAGCTCCTCAATTAGTGGCTGCAAATACACATCAATTTCATTTCCGGGTGACTTTGGTCCAGGAATAAGTAATGACATCAAACAATTTTCAGCCTTCATGCACAAATTTGGCGGATAGTTATATATTGTTAATACAACAAGCCATGTTCTATGTGAAAGACTCATGGTCCTAAACGGATTAAACCCATCACTTGCCAACCCAAGTCTGATGTTACGAGTTTCACGAGCGAAATCTGAATGTTTGGCATCAAAGTCTTTCCATGCTTGGGCATCAGCTGGATGCCTTAACTTCCCATCCCTTGAATGATGGTCTGCGTGCCACCTCAATGTATCGGCTGTCTTTGAACACATAAAAAGTCTTTTCAATCTTGGAATCAATGGAAAATGTCTTAGAACTTTGGCGGGAACCTTATGAGCTTTTATAGATTCTTCAAGATCATTAGCAACTTCAGGATATTCAATCCACCTTGACGTGCCACAAATATGACATGAATCATCTTTCCCATGATCTTTCCAAAACAACATGCAGTTGTTCGGACATGCGTCAATCTTTTTATAGTCTAAGCCCAAATCTTTTATCATAGATTTTGTTTTATTGAAAGAGACAGGGATGTTCAAATCTGGCATAGCCTCTTTCAACAACTCTACGAGAGCAGTGAATGATGCATTACTCCATCCATGGAGACATTTCAACAAATAAATTCGAATAGTGAATGATAACGAGGAAAACTTTTCACAACCAGGATACAACTCTTGATTTGCATCATCAACTAGTTTATAAAATTTCTTTGCATCTTCATTTATCCCTTCATGTACTCCACCTCCTTCAGCCACATCTTTAAATGTCTCAAATAGTAAGCCATCGATATCATCATGAGATGATGTTTCATCATCACTATCACCATCAAGATCTATAAGGCTCTCATCTTCACCATGATAAATCCATTCAGTGTATCCTTTTACAAATCCTTTACTATATAAATGGTCATAAACTACATCTCTTACTTCCCAACTATCATTGCAACATATAGAACAAGGACACAAAATCTCTTCTTCTTCAACCATTCCTTTGGTGAATGCAATATCCAAAAAGTAATTTACACCGTCCTTATAACTTTGACTGTGTGGAGGTAACTCCACCCAATCCTTCTTTATCATGTTTGGTTTTCTAAAATGAAATAAATTATACATTAATCTTTATCATATAAAGGATGGAAAAACACCATGGTTCATATATCAACGTAGCTTTTACAAATGCATAGTTATTATAAAAATTTCATTTATAATCTAAATATACACTAAACATGCATTCCAATACCAAACATAGACTAAATTGGTGAACTTTTAATCTAAACATGCATTACAAACATAAAATAAATGAGCTAAACTATTTTACATATGTTACTTCATGGAAGAGATAGTTTAAGGTTGTCTTTGTCTATATCCATTGGATGATGTTTTTTACATATGTTTCTTTGGATTCATGTGTTTTGCCCTTACCAATAAGTCTAACTAGCTGTGACTTTGAATTAATAATATATACAAGTATTTGATCTTATCAAGTGAAATTAGAGATATTACTTGCTTTCAAACTACAACTTGATAAGGTATGATTCCATATGATAAAATGATGAGAAGTTTTAGCATAAACATGAGTAGGATAAGGTATGATTCCTTATGATAAAATGATGAGAAGTTTTAGCATAAACATGAGTAGGAAAACACAGAGCTATTGCATGAGGGGTGTGTGTTAGGATTTAAAAACAAGAACAATTAATTTATATTCTAATTATGAACAAACATTTCATAGTCTAATATAATATGTATTTGTTATTTCTTTTCAAACTAATCTACAGTGCAGAAAGCATTGGAATGACTGGGTTATGTTACCTGAATTCTTTCAACTTGATTCTAGAAGTAATAGAAACTAAAATCTTGTCCTTAGTTAAAAGCAAATTCGATTTCAACACAACTTCCTTCACTGCAACAACAACAACAAAGCTAGTAAATGAAACGGAGACGTTTCTTTCCCAAACAATGTTGAAACCGATGAAATATCTATTGAGGTTTAACCGAAACAACGACGGTGAATGATCTAAAGACAAATAATTAGAAAATGAGAAAATGAAACACAAATTTAATAAATAGTAAAAGAGATGAAATGAAATACGTCACCTTTAGAAGAAAGGACGGTGATGTTGATGGATTCAAAAGTGGCATAACGAACTTGGTTAGACTAGGCAGATGCGAGTTACAATGCGGGAATGGGGAAAGACGCAGGAGAACCTGCACATCACACAACATTGATATAATCACATGGTTAACTCACCCTCAAGTAATTAAAATAACATTATACTTATATTTGAAAGGAACTAATAGAGTTGCTACAAAAATTGAAGAAAGATTATGAACATAAAGTTGCTGTTAGGTTTTGTCTAACTTCAACCAAGTAAAACATACATCCTTACTAACCATAATCAATACATAATCAAATGACACATTTTATCAACTTATGTAGGCATGAATGTGTGTATTAAAATAATAACAGTAACTTGTCCTGGTTTTTTCACGTTGAACTTGATTGAAAATTAAGTCACATGACTAATGAGTAGAGCACATTAGCATATGTATTAGTTTTAATAACTAACATAATATTATACTAATATTATACTAAAGCAATGAATCTTAAAATAACATTATACTAATATTATACTTATATTTGAAAGGAACTAAAATTTTTGTTTGTAGTAAACTAAAGAAAAGAAAAGATACAGATAAAGTACATGTGGATTTCCACTGAATTAATGGTATTCCAATTACAAACTTATTAAACAAAATTGAACAAAGAACCAATACTGTAATAGTTATATAATAAAGTGCCACCAAGGAATAATATAGGTATTTAAACATGCAAAACTTAAAGAATAGAAAGTAATTTATCTAACTAATCATATAAAATTTAAAGGAATAGAATACCACCATGAATAAAACATACTGAGAGTTTCTTAAACTGTAAGAAAATGTCACCGTGAATCCTAACAAAAAAAGAAAGCTAACATATGCATCACGAAGACCCTTAAAACCTCTACCTATCAAGCTGAGTTTTAATCTAGAAGACAAGAAAAGACGAGATCTCCTAAAGGAATTCACATGAATTTGAGCACAAAAAAACTTCATGCTAACAAAACAATGAGCATCAGATAGCTTTCTTTGAAAGCGGTTGAAATTTGACACATAAATGAATCCAAATTGACGTGAACATGAGCAAGGCTATCATTGAAAAGTATATTCAAGAGGTGGAAAAGTTGGCCTATAGGTTGCTTGAACTCGTAGCTTTGAGCTTAGGACTAGAAGAAAAGAGGTTTGAAGAATTCTTCAAGGATCAAACTAGCTTTATTAGATTAAACCACTATAGGCCCTAATTTATACTATGCTGCTTTTCTGTATATTTTCGTTAGATGAATGAAGTTGTATTATTTGTGCAGGTTTGGAGCAATGACTCATATGAGAGTGTGGAACACAGAGTAATGGTTAACTCTGCGAGAGAAAGGTTTTCAATTCCCTTCTTTTTCTTCCATGCGCATTACACCGAAGTCAAGCCTTTGGAGGAGTTGACAAATGAGGAAAATCCTCCAAAGTATAGACCTTACAACTGGGGGGAGTTTCTTGTGAACAGAAAGGGTCGCAATTTTGAGAAGAAAAAAGTGGAGAACATTCAAATTTATCATTATAAGATAGCTTAAAGATAGTATAGTAGAAGTATATCTAGTTTGTGCAAATTGAATAATATGTTGCAGCAAATTGATCTAATACTGTGTATGAGTATTGCTGAATAACATCTGTCATGAATTTTTCCTTTCAAAAATAAATAAAAACTTTGTTTATTTTCAATTCAAAATATGAAATTACAATGGCCTATATTAAATTATTATTGATAATCACTATGTAATTAATTCTTTACTACTAGAAAAAATAGTTAGCACTCTCTATCAGCATTTGTTTGATTTAAAGTAGTTAGCACCCCACTCTGTTGTCAACTTCTTATATCAACAACAAATATGAAAATGCCCACACAAACTCAAACAACCATCAAAACACTCAGATTCAACTCAAACACAACGATACGAAATGGCGATCAAAATATAAATGCAAAAATACATACAAACACACCAACATACACCCACGTCAGAAAAACATAATCAATAGCAAATTAACATCCATTCATTGAACCTTCTCACCAACATAAACCAACAACTATAAACTGTATTGAAATAAAATAAAGAGAAGTTACCAATAATGCAATTTTGAGCACGTCGTGTTGTTATGTTGCTGCTGAAGGTGTTGAGCGTTGTTGTGGATCAGAAATGGCGATGTATATAAGTTTACGGCGGTGGGATATGGTACGGTACATCTAGGGTGGGGTTTTTGGAATCGAGCGGACGACGAACGAAGGCCGTTGGACAGAATGACGAACAACACAGAGGAGGGTGTAGACGAAAGTGGTTTGAGTCGGAGCGGATGAAGAACTTGGACTTGGAGCGTCTGAGAGCGGTATTCGGCGGCATAATGTGTGAAGAAGAAGATGGAACGCTTTTGTTTTCCTTTTCTGTTGTTTTTCTTATTTCTATTTTCTATTTTTTTAATAAGACGTGGACAATTCCATCAGTATTAATACTAATATCTATTTCCCTTTTTTTTTACAAGAAAAATATTACTTATGTGTTTTATCCTAGCTAGTTATAAAATACAAGTAATATTTAATTTAAAAATTCAGAAAAAATTTTAAATTAACAATATAAATTTAAAAATATATAATAGATATATCATGATAATATAATATATTTCCTCCATACTAAATTAAAAATCACTTTACAAAATAAAACTATCTTAAATTATAAATCACTTTACAATTTTAATTATTACGATCTTTCATTTTGCAACATTAGTGATACTTTTAATGATATACCATTTTTCATTTATTTCTTTTTTTAATTATTTAATTTGTTGTGTAAAATAAAGGTCAATATTATAAATTTGATAATGCTAAAAAAATTTATACAACATTTCAGAAATGTAGCCTTTTATTAGAACTAATGTAACAATCTAAAAATGTCCCCAAAAATATTTTAGGGGACAATTGTCAAACATTACTAAAGAAATAATATTTTAACGCTCTAAAATCGTCCCCAAAAGCAGTTAAGGGCACAATTAACAATCGTTGGCAAAAAAATAAAAGAGTATCGCTCCATAAACGTCCCCAAAAGTATTTTAGGCAACGATTATCAAGGGTTGCAAACATATTTTGGACAACAATCGTAAATCGTTGCCTACATGAATTTAAGGCAACAATTTCTACATGTTACCTAAAAAAGTGTTGCCAGAGACAACAAATGTTGTAGTGTGAGGATGATGCATTGCTCAAGCATGGTGAATGATAAGAATTTTAGTGAAATCGTATGCACCCTTGAGCAGGAGAAAAGTGTGACTTGCAAACACTCAAAACTCACTTTAAACTTGTGTTTTATGTTCCAATTAACTTCTGGACATGTGATAGACTTGAGTAGGCATGAAATCAGACATTAATTTGGCCTCTAATTTGAATTATCAAAATTTCAAAATTTGAGTCATGGTAAAAACTTCAGGTCTAAGCAACCATTTTCAAATTCATGGGGCATTATGTATAAGAGGTTTTATAATCTCATTCTTTTTGCAATGCGTAGATTTTCTGACAAGGATCACAATATGCTAAAAAAGTATTCATTTGGCAACTTGAGCAAAAAGTTATGTCCATTGAAAGTTGGTAAAAGAATTGTCTTCTATACTTAGAAAAATTTCTAAGTTAAGAGTCTTAAAATGACCTGTAATCTTTCGATGAATTTCATGCCCTTCCAAGAAAAATTAAAACTTTATCATTGAAAAGAACTTGTAAATGGAATCATGAAGAGTATTGGGTAAAAATAATAAGCTCCATGTGATAATAATTGAGTTAGTTATGATTCTTGAAAGTTGGGGAAAAACCATTTGAAATAGGTAAAAATTTCACCAAGTCCACAAATGACCTATAAAGTCTTCAAACTTTTGATGAATTTTTCACATAATTAGCTCTTGACTTGTAAATAGAAGTTGCATAGGAAATCAAGAAGAATATTATGAAAAAA